ATCTGCTGCTCCTCTCTGAGCTTCTGAGAATATCCTAGAGTTTCTTTCTTCCCAAAGTGTCCAACATACTGCAGCCCTTAGTCCTCCTCTCCACATTGTCCTTCCCCTTTTTATCCGCCACCTGAAAAGAGAAGGGGAAAAAAGGCCTTGCAAGTCTGATGGGGTATTCCAATTACATCCAAATAGGGACAAATCCCATTCCCAAATTGACCTCGCAAAATGGCAAGACACCAGTAGGTGAAAACCAGTCTCCCCATCCGCAAAATGGCTACCTTCATATTTCTTAATATTCCTAGTAAGGTACTAGATCCTGGAGGCAGTCTCTACTTTATCATATGATAGTGGGAAGTTCATGTATCACTTGGGGTGGCAACAACAAACAAGCACTCACTGATAATTTTGCTTTTCATTTGATTGATAAAATGTCTATGTTTTATTGGAAGAAGTGTTTTAAAAGCGCAAGGCGCAAGGGACATTTTGCGCCTGAGGCGCAAGGGCCATTTTGCGCCTGAGGCGCAAGGCGTGCGCCTTTTTGAGGCAAGGCACACAATTTAAAGAAAAAGCTAAAAATTTAAACAAATTCAAAAAAAAATGCAAAAAATCAAAAAATTATAAAACATAATATTAATAAAAATATAAACTTAAGTTTTAAAATAAATGATTTAAAAAACCTATTTATCTAAAATTAAAATACATAAATATAATATGTAAAGCATATTCAATTGAGAATTTAAAAATGAAATCAAACATACAAAACATTTTCAAGCATATAAAACCCACAATCTCTTTTTTATATCAATTGCATCAAGTAGTTAATGTGACATATTACATTCCTAACTCTACGAGCCGCCTTTGTGCCACGCCCCTCGAGGCAAGCCCAAACAAATCCATGTTAAGGTCTTAAATTCTTATTTTTCACACAAAAAATAATAATTTTATAGTTTTAATTGCTTTTAAGAAGATATTTTATTAGGATGAATGAATGGACAACATTACCAAATAGGGGATTCTTGAAGCTTCGATGAGTGAGCGGAAACTATAAAATTATTATTTTTTGTGTGAAAACTAAGAATTTAAGACCCTAACATGAACTTGTTTGGACTGGCCTCGAGGGGTGTGGCATGGGGGTCTAGGGGCGGAGCCCCCGGCCTAGATGCTAGACTCAAACAAAAGGAAAAAGCGACAATTTTTCAAAAGGCACACCAGGCGTGCGCCTAGGACCTGGGCAAGGCGCCTACCCTAAAATGCGCCTCACCTGTGTGCCTAGGCGTGCCTTTTAAATCACTGATTGGAAGGTTGCAAAAAAGTGTTGTGACCATGTAGATTTTAGACTAATTGAAACCCAATCACCTAGGCATGCACTCACAAGGTGATTTGGCTTTAAATTTGATTATTAGCATGTTTGTGGCTTATTGGAGGGTCACAAGGTTGTGACCACGTGTACTCATCAAAATCAAAACACCTAAGCATGCACTCACTAGATGATATTGTTTTTCCTTTGGATTGATAGCATGTTAGGGTTTTATCGGAAGGTCACAAGAAAGTATTGTGACAATGTGAAACGTCAATATATATATTAGAATAACTTGGAAATTCTTGATTGTGATAGTAAGGTAGTAGACCTTAGAGGTAGTCTCTATTTTTTCATATGTTAGTGGGTAGTCTGTGCCTTGGAAATTCCCCAATGTACATACTGCATACCCCTTCCCCAATCATAAATACTCAGCAACTGTAGTCCCAAAACCTAAAATACCTCCCAATTATCCATGTACAAATTACACGGATCAACTTTTTATTCAATCCATCTCCCATCCCTCCTCCCCCCACAAACTAATAACTTGCATCCCTCCCCCATGCAAACAAAGAAACACTTCTTAGATGCCTAAAACACCAAAAACACATCTGCCTTAGGCCTACCAGATCACCATAAACCAAGTACATTTTATCAGCTACCAAAATCACATCTCCCTTTATTCCCTCTCTAAAAGAACCATTCTAGCAAACTCTTCACCACCTAAGAAGAACAAGAGCAATTTCTTACTAACCTAAACTTTCTGTCAATTGCCTTCTCCAAATCCATCTTCTTCTTTGTCTGCCTAACTCTGTCAAATAAAAACTCATCATCTTCCTTTTGATGTTGTAAATCTCCTTCGCTATCTTCCCCTGATTCTTCATTGTCAATATTCTGAAAATCATCTTCATATATGACCACTAATAACATTATTATGGACTCTTCTTCCTCTGTTTTCCTGTATAGGATTATCATCTTAAAATTCCAACAAGTTAACATCACCTGAATCATTTTTTTATCAATAACAGAATCAATTCCATTAATTATGAAGAAATTTAGTACAATAAAAAAAGAAAGAAGAGGGAAGGGATAAACTCTCTTAGCCCTCCCCAACATAAAATATGGTTACAACACAGCCCAAAATAAACTATTTCTTCCTACCTCTTGTTTAGCAAGTGTTTCAGCAAAGGCATTTGCATCTCTTCTGACCAACTGCAGTCACCTCTATCCCTTGTAACAACTTGATGGCTTTCCTCTTCTCATATATATAGCACCATCATCCAGCCTCCTCTTCTTTTCAGAGCCAGCTTATTACAAGCTTCGAATCACCTTTAATTAACAACTTCCTGATATTCAGCTCCTTAGCCTTTTGAATCCCTTCCATAACAGCCATGGTTTCGGCCCTTAAAGAGTCCCCAGTTCCAATTGGACCTGAATAGAATGCAATGACATTTCCCTCCTCATTCCTAAACACTCCTTCAATGCCAGACAGGACCAAATTGCCTTCACTACTACCATCAAAGTTGAGTTTAATAAAACCTCTAGGGGGTGGGGACCAAACAGGCCTGACCACCTCCAATAAAAGGGGGAAGAAACATCACCTGAATCATTTAATACTTTAAATCTGAACAACATCACCTCTTTATCTTTCAAAGATCTTTCTGATAACAGGCTGACTGTCTGAGTGTTAATCGTACTTGATTACAATGTCAAATGAACCTGGACCACATAGCCCACTCTTTAGATGAGAAGAACCTCAATTACATGGACTGGTTTATTCGTTACGATACCAAATACCGCATGGATACTTTTAGATGTACTCTCTAGAATTAACACTTTTAGAATATGTAATTCAGTATGTTTTGACAAATTATAATAAAAATATCTGCACATGTTAAAAACTTAATTAAATTTGGCAAGACACAAGTCTTGAGAAATGA